TCAAAAACCACTGAACACTCAGCATGATGTGGGTGGGTGCACCTGTAAATCACCTATCATGAAATGGACAAATGGGTTGAAAATTCTTCAAAAAATTCACTGAAGCTGAATGCAGCCTCTCACAACAACACCAGATGGCACACTGATACAGATGGGTATATCACCTAGTGGGGTGGGGGGCTGTTACCACAAGGGGCCCACCCTCCAGAAGATAATTTCAGGTTTTTTCGGGCCCCTCTCGTATTTGGGAATTTAAATCTTTGACTACATCTTTGACCAAAAGAAAAATTACTGAGTTAAAATGGTATTTTGAAGGCTCCAGGTACATATATATATATATATATATATATATATATATATATATATATATATATATATTTTTTTTAAGATTTTATTTATTTATTTTTAGAGAGGGAAGGGAAAGAAAAAGAGAGAGAAACATCAATGTGCGGTTGCTGGGGGTCGTGGCCTGCAACCCAGGCATGTGCCCTGACTGGGAATCGAACCTGCAATGCCTGGTTCACAGCCCGCACTCAATCCACTGAGCTACGCCAGCCAGGGCGGCTCCAGGTATATATTGACAAATGGTCCTCCAGAAAGGTTACGTAAACTTATCTGCGTACTGCTCTGACTGGTGTGGCGCGGTTGGCTGGAGCCAGGGCATGTGCCTGGGCTGCAGACTCGATCCCCCGCTGGGGCGTGCGAGAGCCAACCCAGTGATGTTTCTCTCCCTCTCTTCCTCCCTCCCTCCCCTTCTCTCTAAGTAAATAAATACAGAAATAGAATTATTTAAAACATCAGCTTCTATGGCGGGGAAAAGTAGAGAGGCAGCGCCTGAAACTGTGGGTGTTTCATATCCCACATGCGGGAACTGAAACACGAGAGGTGCAAGGACCGCACCTCGCCCACCTCAGCTGTCGACAGGTTTCTGCGCTGCTTTATCTGGTGCCCACCCAGCACGGAGGGCTGAGACTTGGGTGGTGGGAACGAGCCGGGCCTGGGTCTCGCCCTCATGGGGCTCAGAGTTCCGTATTTCCACACCAGGCTACACGCATGCAGCCAGTAGGGACGTTACAATTCCTAACGGCAGCCACCTTTTCTCACGTTACCACATGCCAGTGGTTCCGCACACACTAACCCTGGAGCTGACTGTGATTACGGAAAGCAATCAGAGAGAGAGAGCCTTGCGTTCAGCTCCTCGCTCTTGTCGCTTGCGAGCTGTGTGTCTCTAGCTGAATCACTCAGTCCTCAGTTACCGTGCCCAGGGAGGGGGACAGAGCCAGCGCACTGGGCGACTGGGAGGGTGGGGAGACGATGCACAGGAAGGACTGGGCACAACGACTTCTGGTCACGTGGACCCTCAGGATGGCGCAGGGTTTGTATTTATCTGCCTGCCAAGAATGCGCAAAAACCATTCAGCACTATGCTCTGTCTCACTGGCCACGGTTTATAGATCAGTAAACTCAGGGTGCTTGGAATGTAAAGTCACATGTCCAAGGGCACCCCCCCACCAGCTTTTCATTCAGGCTCCCATTGCCCAGAGCAGCCAGGCCCGCCGGCCCAGCTGAGAAATGCACAGTGTGGACTAAGCGTGACACACGGCAGGTGCCTCACGTATGATGGGAGTTCCGATTCTCGGTGCTGCTTTCTAAGAGCCAAGCTCACCTCCTGGGGCTTTGGACATCAAAGCAGAGCCAGGAAACGGAACCTCAGGGAATGGAGCAAATCCCTGAACAGCTTTCCTGCCCCTGGGCCACCAGCACTGCTGCTTCCGGCAACCCGATTCCCTTTCTCCACGCAGACAAAGGGCACTGAACAGACACGACAGAACTGGGTCCCGGGTTAATGGGGAAAGGGCATCAGTGGGACAGCTGAGAAGCTGGTTATGGACGGAATGTGCCCTCAAATTTCTACACTGAAGCCCCAACCCCCAGGACCCCAGAATGCAATCTTATTGGAGACAGGGCCTTCAAACCAGTGAGTGAGTACAAACGAGGTCTGAGGGGGGACCTTCAGCCAGCCTCCCTGGTGTCCTTATCAGAGGAGGACATCTGGACCGACAGGAGGCACCGAGGATGCGCCCGGAGGACAGATCACGTGAGGACACAGTGAGAAGGTGGCTCACAACAAGCCAAGGGAGAGAGGCCTCAGAAAAAAACGAAGTTAGTTGACACCTTGATCTTGAGCTTCCAGGCTCCAGGACTGTGAGGAAATTGATTTCTGTCGTTTAAGTCGCCCAGCCGCGGTTCTTTACGGCAGCCCCGGCAGACGGCTAAGGCATGATAGCAGCACTGAAGTTTCTGAAGATGGAGACTGCTTTCTGGTTGGGTGTTATTCTGTCTTTGCTTTCAGGCGATTTCCCCTGAAACATTTAGGGGCAAACTACTCTTACATGCATCCACAATAATAACGATAATAATAATGAGTATACAGAGAGTAAACAGGGCTAAAATGTTAACAATTCCTGCACTGGGTGAAGGATATGAATGGGATTTCATTTGCTTATTCTAGTAACTTTTCTGTGAGTCTGGGTTTTTTTCGAAATAGAAACTTTTTAAAGATTCCTTTCCTCTCATTGAAGGTGGGAGCAGGGAGCGGTCTTTGGGGAAAGGAAACCCTAGATCAACAGCGGGGGCTCCGGGACCCAGCGCCCACCCCGAGCCAGGTGCGAGGCCCGCCCACACTGTCTCAGGTGAGAGCACCGCTGGTCCTCACCTGACAGAGGACACTCTGAGATGGGAAGCCACTCGCCCAAGGTCACGTGGCGAGGAAGTGACAGAGCTGGAAGGGAGCCAGGCGGGTCTGCCTTCGCAGCCCTTCCCGCTCTGCCCCCTGTGCAGACGAATGGAGTGTACACGGGAGGCACTTAATAGAGGCGGGGAGGGGAAGAAGCCCGCTCTGTTGAGATCCTGGGAACAGGCCCCCTTGCGAGCAGCAGCGGGTCCACTGGACTGTGCGGCTGGAGTCGGGGAGGTGCCTGCCCGCACGCCGGCCAGAGGTGGGGCGCCTCGCCGCTCCGCCGCAGCGGCCCCAGAGTGCCTCTCCCTCCTGACCCGCCAGGGCTGCCTGCTTCTCTTGGGGATGAGAAAGCAGGAGGAAAGGAGGCAGGCTGGCAGGTCTGGCAAAGCGCCCACCCTCTCAGGGCCCGGGCGAGGCTTCCAAGACGCTCCATCCTAGATAAGGGCAGGCACTCCGTCCTCCCTGGGGCCCTGCACTGCGTGAGGGGAAAGTACCTCCCCAGGGACACAGCCGTCAGGCAGCACGGCTGGGCCTGGCACCAGCTGCTGCGACCAGGCCGCAGGTGCCCATTACTCATCATTTTCCTGGAGGTTCTGGCTACATCCTCCTTGCAGCCAGGAGGGAGCCGAGTTCCTGGGGACAGCAAAGGTGATGCTGCCAAGCCCCTCACCAACACAAGGGCGCCCCCTGACCCGGTCCCCATACCCGTACCCCTCTGGGACCCCTTCCCTCCCTCCTGCCTTCTTTTCTCCAGTTGACTTCCAAGCAATTCCATTTTCCCTAAATCCCCAACACACTCCTTCCTCTAACCTAGTCTTCATGCACTGAGAGTCCACCACCCTTCTGACCCTCAACGCGGAACTCTCAGCCTCCTCCTGCCTCGGCAAGCTCTGCTTCCCACACACCTCCAGTGACCCCCACTGGCCTCACCCACTGCGCCCCGCCCGAACAGCCCCGTGTACTGGGCTGACACTCAGAGACCTCACTGAATCCTCGGAACCGCCCTGGGGGTTGGCAACATGGGAAGCTAAATGCATGTCCACCCCACCACCACTAAAGGGGGCATGACAGGCTCAGAGAGGCAGAGGAACTGGCTGGAAGTCACACAGCTACTAAACAGCTTTTGCCCAAGGCCAAAAGGCTGTTCTGAGACGTCCCAAGTCTACCTGAGGAGGCCATTTGTCTCAGCCAGTCGGGGGGGCGGGGGGGAGAACAACAATCTTAGAGGAGGATGTTCTAGAAAGAAGTAAGGCATTCCAGAAATGCTGCCCAGCTTCAGAATGGTCTTCAGAAGAGGGAACCAAAACCGGCTTCCATCAGCACCTCCCCGCCGCCAATGCGCTGCAATAAGGGCGGCCGCAGCCGGCATTTACTGAACGGTCCCTGTGCCAGGTGCCGTGCAGAAGGCGCAGCAGAGGTAGGCCTGCCGCTGGTCCCTGCTCCGCCTTCCAGCTGTGTGACCTGAAGCACGCCTCGTCTCCCTGAACCCAGGTACTCTCGTTTGCAAAATGAAGAATAACTGAATCTACTTCATTGGCTAGTTGGGCGAGTTCAGTGAGATCATGCTTATCCCAGGACCTGCCACCTAGTGAGCGCTTAGTAAGAGGCAGTGCTTTCAAAGGAAAGGACCGGCCTATAATGAGAGAGGGAAAACTACTATTTAAGGGGTTCCTAAAGCCTTCGAGGCCACTATTCATGCATTTAGTTATTTCCTAAGCCTCTGTCGATGCCCATACTTCAAATAAACTTAATCCTCACAGCATCCTCAGGATGGAACGGGCGAAGGGCAGAGCAACGGTCCTCGTGGTAAAGGACACACGCAAGCCCCCCCCCCGCCGAAAGCTCCAGAAAGGCCGCGGGCAAACACCGGAGGAGGGGCCCTAGGGGTTCAAAACATAGGACGTGCCTCTCCTCTCTCCTCGGGGAGAAGTGTCTGGGTGTCATTTTTAGCCAGACAGTCGGCGTTAGGACTTTAATTCAGCACCACTAAGAAGTGGTCATCTTTTGTCCTTAAAGGAAAAAAATACACGTCAGGGCCCAGACCCAGGGGAAATAAATGTCAGCGCCCCGAGACGCGACACGCACGCTTTCAGCGCGGAATCAGGCCCTGGAGAATAAAAGAGATGGCGGCTCCTGTCCCGCAGAAGCCACGAGTCCTCAGGGGCTCGAAGCGGGGCGGCGGGACACTCGAGGACCCCCTGGGCGCCGGCCGGAGGAGGGGTGGGGTGACGGTGGCCGGGGGGTTCCCGGGCTCAGCTCACCTGGACGCGGCGTTTAGCGCACTTGGCAGGGCCAGGCACTCCGATGGCCGGGAGCAGGGCCGGGGTCACCCCTGCCCGAGAGGCCCGGCCCCCTGAAGCAGCCGGCAGCAGCCTGAAACTCACCTGCCGTCGCTACCGAGCCACCGCTGCTTGTCAGTCAAACGCACCCTCCGCGGCGCCGCGCCGCGCAGGGTCGTGGGGCCCAGGCGGCCGCGCCCCGCCCCCTCGCTTTGATCACCCAATCGGGAAAGGTCTACGCTACCGATGGGAGGCGTGGCCATGTGGGCGGTGCGAAAAAGGTGGAGCCCGGAGGGCTGGGGGCGGAGCCGGCAGAGCCGGCGCTCTGACTGCATTGCTGCGCGCCGGAAGCAGACCGGGCCACAGCGCTGCGGGGCGGCGGCTGGACCGCGGAGCCACCCGGACCATGCCGGTCACCGGGAAGACTTTCCGCCGGCGCCGGGCCGACTCGGAGTCGGAGGAAGATGAACAGGACTCAGAAGAGGTTCGGTGCGTTTGGAGCGGGGTTTCCACTGGGCAGGAAAGGAGAAGCCGGCTTAGGGACTCATCACGAGCCAGGCTCCCCCTTCACAACATTGGTAGCTGTGAACCCGTGTTGTTGTTCCCTTCTGCGGGCGAAGAAATTGGGGCTTCCGCCACTCCCAAGGCCGCTCACTGGAAGAGGTGTCCCAGGGACGGGCAGTGCATCTGATTCCCGGGGGGTCTAGGTGCAGGTTCGCCTTCTGGACGGACGTGGCGGCGACTCAGCCGCCGGCTAGGGTACTGGCCGAAGCTGCTGTTTGACTCCGAGTTCCGCAGAGGTTCTCTCAACCTCTACGTTGCCTTTTTTTCAGATTAAAACTAGAAGAAACCCGAGAAGTGCAGAACATGAGGAAGAGGCCCAACGGAGTGAGGTGGGGACCGTAGGGGGACCCGGAGGAGGAGGAGACGGGAATGACAGACACACCCCCACCCCGGTCGCCGTTACAGAATATCTTCTGAGACAGAGCCCCTTTTCTTGGCACACTGTGCACTTTCCACTGCCCTGGAAGAGGCCCCGCGTTCTTTGATAACGTTCACCTGGGAGATGGCCTGAGTTGTGTGGTCATGGGGCTTGCTCCAGAGGTGCAGAAACAGGTCACCAACTTGTGTTTTTATTGCACGCAATTAATTGTGGAAGTGCATCGAGTTTGGCAAGTTTAGAAGAGTCCAGTCAAGAAAATAAACAGCACCCATAATTCTCTCCCCCAGAGATAGCAAGTGTTCATATTTAATGTTCTTCCCTATCTTTATTCTTTTCTCCGTTTTGTAAAGAATGGTGAGAACTGTTACTCTGTGCTATTTTCAACTCATTATGACCTTGTGGACATTCATTCACATTGTGGGTTGTTTTCCCAAAAACCTTTCTAATGGCTACATAATACTCCACTGCAAGCGTGTACCATAATTTAACTAATCCCCTATTTGGGAACCTGTAGTTCATTTTGTAAATTTTCATCAGATAAGGCTGCAGTAATAGTATTTTCCTACCTTTGTCTTTAGCTTTAGTTTTCCTGGAGGCAAAATCTTAGAAATGAGATTTCCAAGCCAAGATAATGCCAGATGGCTTTATTGAAACCTTCCCACCGCCCCCACCCCCCGGCATCTGGAGTGTGTGTTGAGCTGTTTTATTCTTGTAGGCCTTTCCGACTGGCTTTGGCGCCCACCCCTCAAATCTCACCCTTGCACTAACGTTGCAGTTTACAAAAATCCTAAGTGTTCCTTCTCATCTCTGAATGATGCCGTCCACCCTCCCTCCCTTTCCCTTTCGGTCTTAGCGCTGTGGCCCTGCTGGTGGGAGAGAAGGTACAAGAAGAGGCCACTCTGGTGGTGAGTCGTGGGGTCCCCCTCGCGCAGTGGGCAGATGCGGGCGCTCTTCAGCGGAGGATTGTGTTTTCCTAAGAAAGTCTGCTGCCAGTGACATGATGTTTCCTCTCCCCATGCTGGCTCGCTGCAGGACGATCCCTTTCAGATGAAGACAGGCGGTATGGTGGACATGAAGAAGCTGAAGGAAAGAGGCAAAGATAAGTAAGTACGCGACTCGCTGAGACATGAATTCACCCACAGGCCCTGCTGGGGCCTCAGTGCCCCTGGGGAGTTGGGGCCTGCGGCGGTGGCTCTCGTGGGTGGGACACCTTCAAGTATCCTGTGTGCTGTGTGAAGGGTGTGTAGTTTAAAAGCAAAACTGAAACTCTTTAAAGGTGAGCTCAGAGAGATGTGGGCACACTGTGTGCTTTAGGAAAGGCGCGTCATTTATTATCTTTCAAAGAGGTTTTGTTTTTCTTTTTTCAAAAAACATAATAACACAATTATCAAAATAATATATACAAAAGTAAAAAATAAAAGTATCTGCTGCTTCCCCGAGAGGAATCTCCAGAGGCCAACGGTTTGCTTGCATAGCTTTATTTACATATCGTGTATTTTTCCCCCAACCATAACGAGGATATTGCACTTTCTTGTTGTGTACCTGTTTCATTGGTATAACATGCAACTCCGCTCAGCGAGTCGTGACTTCACGGCTCTGCTTCACGGGCCCCTCCTTTCAGGATCAGTGAAGAGGAGGACCTCCACCTGGGGACGTCGTTTTCGGCGGAAACCAACCGCAGGGACGAGGACGCTGACATGTAGGTGCCGGTGTGTGGGGCCGTGAGCGATCAGGGGTGGGCTCCAGCCAGACACGGTCCGGGACGGTTAGTGACAGATGACATTTGTAGAGTTTTCCAAAGACATCAGGGGGGCCCTCTCGGCCCACTTCCCAGGCTTGAGAACTTTGAAAAACTCTGAAAAGTCCCTTATAAGTGGTTCTTGAGATTTACGGTTCCTTGGCTAGTCATACTTCCCCCAGACATTGCAGGGATAAACACTGGCCTGCCCGCTTTGGATTTTGCCAGCCAGGCTGTGAAACAAATAACCACCCTCTCCCGTTACCTCTCTGTCTTCGAAGAGCCTTAGTAGAGTAACGCCAGTAGACTGCTGGGACATGATCTCGCGATACAGGTTGGCGCTGTACGTTGTACATTTTAGCTCAACAGAAACACTCAGGGTAGTTTTACTTTTCTCACCTCCCCATGGACTGGTGGAAACTTGGTCATGGACCATCACCGCTCCGTGGGCCAGGCTCGGGGACCGTCACCGCCCACTCTGTGGGCCAGGCTCGGGGACCACTGGTTGAAAAGATGCGTGTGCTGAGCGTCCTGCCTCTCCCTGAGCCCCGCGGGTGTCTTGTCTCAGGATGAAGTACATTGAAACGGAGCTGAAGAAGAGGAAAGGGATCGTGGAACACGAGGAACAGAAGGTGAAACCCAAGAACGCAGAGGACTGCCTTTACGAGCTCCCGGAAAACATCCGCGTCTCCTCGGCCAAGAAGACGGAGGAGATGCTGTCCAACCAGATGCTGAGCGGCATCCCCGAGGTGGACCTCGGCATCGAGTACGTTCGGGCCCCTGCGTTCGCCTCCCTCCTTGCCCGCAGGGGCGCGGAGGCGCTCTCTGCTTTCCCGTTCAGAGTCGGGGGGCTGCTTCTGCCCTGTCTCCCTGGAAGCCCACATGAGCTGTGTTCCCTCTGGCGGGCTGAGGTGGCTGCCCCGGGAGTTTCTCTGAAGAGTCGGTCAGACTATGTGATAAAGACACACAGGGGACTCCGTCTGCTGAAAGCAACAGTGTTTTAGTGTGGCCTTCCTTCACAGCCCTTCGGCTGCTCTCGCGGGGGCCTCGCGCTCCTCGGTTCTGTTCTCGCGGGAGCAGTGTTGGAAGCTCCGCCTCCGCCACCCCCCCCCCCCCGGCCCTCCCCTGGGTTCGGTGCAGAACACCTGCTCTGTACGGGGATGGTCCTGTGGGAAATGCCACGGTCAGAGTCATCCTTGGCGCAGAGGACGCTGGGAGGCCTCTGGGTTCTCTCCTCTCTTCTGGCCCTTCTAGCTTTGAGCCTTAGGTAGGCTGCTCTCTTTCCTTCCTGGAGGCTCAGCTTCCTCTCTATCAGAGGAGACTGACCCGCACCGCCGGTGGCTGGGAGAGCTCCCCGGGGGCGCGGCTGTGGGGTGGGGGGGGTGAGCTGTGCAGAGCCGTGCCGGAGAAAGGTGCTGCCCTTACTCAGTGGCGGGCTGCCCGCCCCTCCGCTCCCTTCCATGTGAGGACCAGACATGCGGCGACCTGATGCACGGCCTGGCTCCTTTCTCCCCTTAGTGCGAAAATTAAGAACATCATCTCCACGGAGGACGCCAAGGCCCGGCTGCTGGCAGAGCAGCAGAACAAGAAGAAGGACAGCGAGACGTCCTTCGTGCCCACCAACATGGCGGTGAACTACGTGCAGCACAACCGATGTGAGCGTCTCTGCGGAGCCGCCCTTGCCTGCCCCCGGCCCCGCCCCTGCCCCCTCGGTCTGAGGTCCCGGGTTCCCCCATTTCGTCTGACGCGTCCCCTGGTCTCTTTCGGTTCAGTTTATCACGAGGAGCTCAACGCCCCGATACGGAGAAACAAAGAAGAGCCCAAAGCCCGCCCGTTGAGAGTGGGGGACACCGAGAAGCCGGAGCCTGACCGTGAGTAGGGCTGTCGGCCGTCGCCGCGCTCAGGGGCCCGTGGAGGCGGGGCGGGAGGTGGGGCGGGACTCAGCGGGGCTGGCGCTCGGGCTGGGGTGGGGGGGGCCTGTAGCCGGGGTTCAGTGTCAGAGCTCTGGGCCGTGGCCTTGCGCCTTCCCCTTCGGAAGCCTCAGTTTCCTCATCTACAAAATGGGAAGAGGAAGAGTAACTTGCAGCCACTTGGGGGTTGCTCTGAAGAGTCACTGGGCTGTCACAGAGACTCAAAAAATTAGAGAGTTTCAATAAACAAAAATAAATGAAAAGTCAGTCCTAATTTTACCACCTAAAGGTAGCCACTGTTAACATTGTTACATAAAACCTTCAGACTTTTTTAAGATTTTATTTATTTATTTCCAGAGAGAGGGGAAGGGAGGGAGAAAGAGAAAGAGAGAAACATCAGTGTGTGGTGGCCTCTCACACGCCCCTAACCGGGGACCTGGCCTGCAACCCAGGCATGTGCCCTGACTGGGAACTGAACCCGTGGCCTATCAATTCTCAGGTTGGCGCCCAACCCCCTGAGCCACACCAGCCAGGGCCAGACTTTTTTTAATGTTCACATAGAGGAAATATCGTATGAACACTTACAGGGATCGCATAGCGTTTCACTCAGTCGTCCGCCCTGCGTGTCTCCCTGTGCCAGTAGGTGCGTATTCTCTCTGTCGAAGAGCGAACCCTGTCCCGTCGGAAAGACGGGCACTGTGGTCTGAGCCGTCCGCTCTGGCTGGCACTGCGCCTGCTTCCCACGCCTCCCCGTTTGAATGTGTTCTGATGCTCGTTCCTGACGGCATCGCGGTCTTAGGCCAAGTTCTGAGAAGTTTCCAGATGACCCCCGAGAGGCGGGGTGCTCACGGTTCCCCCTCCGGCAGCATCGGCCGGTGCCCCTCCCACAGGGTCGCCTGCACCGGGCATCGTCTTCTCATCGACAATGGGATGGCTCCAGGGAAGGGCGGAATCTGCTGAGGCTCCTGCAAAGCCGGCCTGTCACTCTCCCTCTTCTTTCTCACTTGGGAAATTAATTTGACATCTCGGTTTTGTAGTCTCTGATTCCCAAAAAGCCTCGTGTTGAACATGTGGTGAGCCAGGACTTCCGAGTTACCCGACTTGGGTGTTCAGCCTGCCTTCGCTGTCTGAGTGACCTCGAGCCAGTCACCTAACCTCTCTGAGCAAAGGTGGTAACGTGCCCCTGCTAGTGCCTAAAAGCATTCAGTGCCATTTAGTGCCTGGGGCGGAGTCAGGCTCAACGAAGCCACACCTGTCACCCAGTCTGATGCTGACATTGGTGTATTTTGGCCGGCACCCGACTCCACCATGTGTCTGTTTTCAGTCACTCGACAACAAGTATTAGCTGAGGCCCTACTGTGTTTCCGTTGGCCAGGGTAGGCGCGGGGCTCCTGTGCGGAACGGCCCCTGCCTATGTGGACGCGAAGCCTGTCGGTGACCTCTAGCCTGGCAAACAGCTTTTCCTCTTTTCCTTCCCAGGGTCCCCCCCGAACCGCAAGCGTCCCGCTAACGAGAAGGCCACCGATGACTATCATTACGAGAAGTTCAAGAAGATGAACAGGCGGTACTGAGGGCGGCCAGAGGGGAGCAGTGCAGGATGGAGGTGAACAGCACAGCCTCTGGTCGGCGGGAGGGGGCTCCTGCATGGGAACCTGGCCGTGGGCTGGCAGGCAGCTCCAAGAACAGACTCTCAGTCCTGCTGCTCACCTGCCGGGTTTTTCAAGCTCTGAATTTGTAATCTTCTGAAACAAAACAATATGTGGGTTTTTTTATTTGGGGGCAGACTCTTCTTGTGAGCATTATTAAATCTTGTTTGTAAATACGTTGCCGTTTTTGTAACATGTGCCCTGCCTCAGGAGGAAACAGCTGTGTGTTCAGGGTGAGATAATACCCTTTAAATTGTGCTCTTATTATTACACGTGTCATTGAATCTGCAACGTCCAATTGTCTGGCACGGGGTTGAGAAACGCAGCATCCTTCACTGTCTCCAGTGGATCCAGCGGACGGCAGAAAAATCTAGGATGGGATCAAAGGGACTGGTATTTTCTGACTTTCACAAAGTTGCCTGTTTCTTTTCATGAAGAAGGAAAAATCACGTGTCTCTATCACCTCTGCACTTCGGTATTAAATGTGAAATGAATCCAGCCTTGTTCGCGTGGTGCCTTCTCCCACCAACACCAGGCGGTGTGTGCAGAGCCCAGGGGAGGGCAGCTCAAATGCAGAACCCACTTACTGAGCAAGAGCTGCTAATTCGTCCAAGAAAGGACGGTGCCATTTGTGCTGTCATTTTTCCCGAGGCATTTAAACAGCTCAGGGTGCGGGGATGACAGGGTGGGCGGCTCCAGGGCTGATGCACACGTGCATTGTGGTTACAGAAGTTTGGCTTTGGAGTCGGATCTGGTCCCTGCTCCCAGCTTATTATTATATCCCTGGCCAAATCCCTTTCCCTTGGAGCCTTGGTTTTCTCATCTGCTATACAGAGATTGTTTTTTCATGCACTTTCTTCCCGCCCCAGTAGAATGCAAGGTGAGGCTGAGTGCAGGAGTCACGTGTGCCTGATTTTTTCCCTTGAATCCCCAGGGTCTAGTCTATGACCTGACAGATACGCAGTCCTCAAAACTATGAGTACATGAGTGGGTGTTAATCCGGTGGGGAAGCCTGACAAACATCACCTCGTCCAGACGATGAAAGTCAGTAGCGCTAGTTGAATCATGTTGAAAGGCCGTGCCCTTGATGCGATGTTATAAAAGTAGCACCTTAGCTCTGTAAAGTGTACTCCTTCCCCAAACCCGTAACTCCAGTCTGACCATGAGACAGACATCGGACAAATTCCAATGGTGGGGCATCCTACAAAACACTTGACCCGTACTCCCCAAAACTGTCACGGTCATCCAAACCAAGGGACGTTTGAGAAGCACTCACAGCCAAGAAGAGCCTAAGGAGCTATGGCAACTAAATATAATGTGAGTTCGTGGACGGGATCCTGGATCAGAAGTAGGACATTATGTAACGACTAAGAACTAGCTGAACAAACTTCAGTGAGTTTTATCACTGAACTAGTGCATATGCAACAAATATAACATACAGATGTTAATTACAGGAGAAACTATGCCAGGTGCAAGGACCATATGCGCTCTGTACTGCCTTCTCAATTTTTCTGTAAACCTAAAACTTTAAAAAAAAAAAAATCTTGTAAAAAAACTGTGGCATCCCGCAACAGCTTCCGGTGCTCACCTCCCGGAAGCAGAAATGGGCTCTGCCCTTTACAAAGATGGCAGCAACGGCGTCGCAAAGAGCCCGTCCCAAGCAAAGATGGCGGCGGCGAAGGGGCGGAACCGGAAGCGCTGACTGGCGGGAGCGCGGGTCCACGGACGGCTCGGGCACGCGCAGGGCGGCGGGGGTCCGGGCATGAAGCTGGGCCGGGCTGTACTGGGCCTGCTACTGCTGGCGCCGTTGGTGGTGCGGGCGGTGGAGCCCATCAGCCTGGGACTGGCCCTGGCCGGCGTCCTCACCAGCTACATCTCCTACCCGCGCCTCTATTGCCTCTTCGCCGAGTGCTGCGGCCAGAAGCGGAGCCTTAGCCGGGAAGGTAGGACAGGGCGGCGGCTGGGGGCTGCCTCTAGGACTGGGGCGGGGGTCGGAGGCGGGGCGCGGAGCGCAGGAGGCCGGGGCAGAGCTGAGGCCGGCGCGGCCGGGACACCGAACCGAAATGGCCGGGGCGCGGGGTGGCGCCTGGCCCCAGGGCCACGGCGGGAGACAGCCCGGAACTTGCTCCGACTCTTAGGAGGCGAGCTGCAGGTGGGGCTGTTTCACGCAGAAACGGGGCGGTGTGGACGGTTGCACACTTCCTCCAAGGAGAGCTTTTTGCTCCTTCCCGGCCGGAGACAGAAAGCGTGGTGGCGATCCTCCCTGCGCGGCCCCGGGGCGGGAGGAGCACACGCTGGCGGCGGAGGAGCCAAGGACCTTTTCCCGGAGGGAGCCTGGCTCCGGCCAGGGCTGTGCAGGGCTGCCCTAGCAGAGGGCGGTCCTCCGGGGCCCACCGGCCATCCCTGGGCCAGGTGCTGTCTCCCTGATCCTGTAAACTTTAAGCTTTGCCAGCCGAGCGCCCCTCACGCACTGCCTGACCGGCTTTGTTTTCCCCAGTGCTGCAGAAGGACCTGGACAGCAAGCTCTTCGGACAGCATCTTGCCAAGAAAGTCATCTTAAATGCCTTGTCTGCCTTCATCAGCAACCCGAAGCCCAAGAAACCTCTCACCCTCTCCCTCCACGGCTGGACCGGCACCGGCAAAAACTTTGCCAGCAAGATCATCGCGGAGAACATTTACGAGGGCGGTTTGAACAGTGACTATGTGCACCTGTTTGTGGCCACGCTGCACTTCCCGCACGCCTCCAACATCACCCTGTATAAGGCAAGCGCAGGAGTCGGGACCCTCCCCGGATGGTGACGGGTTTGCGGTCTCTTGGTTGTGGGATGGGTTTTGGGAATTGCCTGTTGACATGAGTGAGCCCTCAAATTAGCTACATGTGTCAGTTCCCCATTGAGAAACGTGGAAGTTACAGAGGGTTTCAGAGGCGAGGAGCAGTTACAGTATCAAACTTGGTGGTTTCCAAAACAGGCCCAGTCTGGTATCCCTTTTAGTAAGTGGGGTCGTGGGACTTTAGAGATGGACAGGGTCAAATCCAACTTTTAAAGGATCATCAAATCTAACTCAGTTTGGAAAAGAGGAAACGTGTCTAGAGAGGCCTGAGTCCGTTTGCCTGCGGTGTTGCAGAACGCTCTTACTGTTCTGTGTCCCTGGCCAACAGCCTGGATTCGAGTCCTAACTTAACAGCCTGCCAGCTGTGCGGTCTTGGGAAGGTTGCCTAACCTCTCTGAGACTCGGGTTCTTCATCTCTAGAATGCGGGGGATGAGCAGTCAACGAGCAGTCTGTCAAGCGTGTGCCATGGTACTGGCCTGGCCCATGAGCGTTGAAATAAACGTTAACTGTCACCTTTTTAAATCCGTGTAACACACCTGCAAGGTAGCAAGACACTCAGCAATGTAGCGCTCACCCACGGAAACCCGTTTTTCCCGTCTGCTTGCTGAACATGAGGATCGCCGGCTGTCCTGGGTTCCCAGGGTGTGCGATTTTCGGTCCTAACACTGGGAAAGTTCCAGACCGATTGTGGCAAGGTGGTCATCCTAGTTAGCATTCCAGCTCTGCTGCTTGCTAGCTGTGTGACTTGGGGCAAGTTACTCAACCTCCCTGGGCCTCGGTTTGCTCAGCGGTAACATAGGGAGCGCAGTGGCGCTGTGCACAGCCTCGGCGGGAGAGCACAGCCACGCGCTGCCGGAACAGCGCCCACCGCAGGGGCCGACCTGCACTCGGTGCCCAGCGCACGCTCTGGTCTTGCCCGAAAGTCGCGTTGCCAAGTGGGAGAACTACGGCAGCTGGAGCCCAGCAGATCTGCGTGAGTCCTTGTTTAAACAGTGACTTGCTCTGGGCCCCCCTCAAGTCACGTCAGCTCTCCTGAGGGTCCCCCTGCAGTGCCTAGAGGCTGGCACCTGCCTGCAGAGCAGAATTACCGCTTAGGTGTGAAGTGTGCGGTGGGACACTGTAACCGTGGTCACGGGAGCCAAGCAGAAGCCAAAATCACCAGAAGCCAAGATCGTAGCTTCCTGTAACCTACATTGTAGCTTCCTGAGTCATCCTCAGAAAACAGCTCACTTCCCCTCCTCACGTTGTGGGGGGCAATCTGGGAAAGCACCCTAGCTCAGATTTCCGATCCAAAGGGTCTTTTCTCCTTGCCTTGATGGCTTAGGATCTTAAGTGCCTGAATACGGTCTTAGGGAATGTTTCTGTGTAAGCAAAGCTGCCAGGCATTGTTCCGGAAACTCGGGAGAGTCCGCTCACCACACTCACGCCAAAGCACGGGTGCCCTGGAGTGCAGCCGCCTCTCTTAAGCCCGCGTTTCTCACGTTCCCCGTGGGAAACCGGGAGCGCCTTTCTCGTGGCTCTTCTGAGGGCCGAGTGGCGGGATAGGTCACCGGGTCTCTGCCTTCTTTCTAGATGAGCTGGTGTACACACAGGAAAGGTGTTACTGTTGCCGTTTTAATGACAAACGGCCGGCAACCCGGCACCTCAGCATTGGTATCAGGCAGGTTGGGATTCAGGTCCCAGTTCTGCCACATAGTGATTTCGTTATTTTATTTTTTATTAAAACATTTTTAAATTTATTGATTTGAGAGAGAGAGAGAGAGATATCTATCTTTGTTGCTCCATTTATTGGTTGTTTTTTGTATGTGCCCTGATGGGAATCGAACCCACAACCTTGGTGTATCGGGACAGTGTTCTAGCCAGCTGAACTACCTGTCCAGGGCAATTCAAAGAGTAATTTTGTAATCTTACATTCTTGGACAAGTCGATGAAGCGGCCTGTGCCCTCAGTTTCCTCATCTGTGACATGGGTGCGATGCGCCTGCTAGGTGGGGTTGTGGAGAGGACCGCAAGAGCTTGCGCCAGCACCGCCCCAGCACGGTGCGGAGACCCCAGTAAGCGCCGGTAAATGCAGCCGCCTCGAAGCGCTTGCCGAGCCCGTGCGGGGCACCGGGATCCCCCCAGCTGAGCAGTGTGTGTCGGCCCGCCCCTTGCCCTTCAGGACCAGCTACAGCTGTGGATCCGCGGCAACGTGAGTGCCTGTGCGAGGTCCATCTTCATCTTCGACGAGATGGACAAGATGCACGCGGGCCTCATCGACGCCATCAAGCCTTTCCTAGACTATTACGACCACCTGGACGGGGTCTCCTACCAGAAGGCCATCTTCATCTTCCTCAGGTACGTCCGGGGCTGGGGCCCGCCCGGGGCTGGGGCGCGGCCCGACGCGCTCTGAGCCCGAGCCCCTGGCTTCAGGGAGAAACCCAGCCCACGTTCCCTGCTCTCGCTTCGCAGCAATGCCGGAGCGGAAAGGATCACAGACGTGGCCTTGGACTTCTGGAGAAGCGGGAGGCAGAGGGAGGAAATCAAGCTCAAAGACATGGAGCCCGCCCTGTCCCTGTCGGCCTTCAACAACAAGAACAGTGAGTGCAGGCCCGCCCCCCTCAGGGCCCCGCCCCCCGGAGCCCCGCCCCATCTCCAGAGCCCCGCCCCCCTGGGGTCCTCAGTCC